TTTTTTTTTTTTTTTTTTAAGTTTGAGGGTGATATGGATTTTAAGTTTTTAAAACCATGACGGTACAGAAATCAATATTAATTTTTATAGTAAATACATCATTTTTATATGAAATGAGCGTTTCAACTTAAACTACAAGCTCGTTAACATTTAAAATCGGGTCCCTCTGAGTAAAATTTTTAGATTCGTCACTGCTTATAAAGATCATACAATAATGAAATTTGACTATATGTTTGGCCAAAATATTTATAAGTGTTCGAATAAAGTAGACGTTTTGCTAAATGAGTTAAGGAGAATCTTACAATGCTAATGATGTTCTGGGCTCCAACAACTATGAATGTTTTTTATAAAAACGTCAAAACCATGTAAAATCACTCTTTTCTTTTCATTTACTTATTTACTGTGTTTTTCCCCATTAGGGACTGAATTTTTGTTGGAGTTGTAATATGTCATTTTATTATTTTTATATTACGACATCATTATGTTATCTAAAAAAACATTAGAAGCTTATTTGTTCTATATTTTACTTTGTTCTTGCAATGATATGTTTAATAAATTAATTAATTAACTTTACTAAATTTAAGTCGGCAAAAAACATTCACCACCACATGCGATGCACGTGCACTTTATCAGTGGTAATAAAATGTCCATGACAAATCTTCCATTAATTATCACGCCTGACTGACCAGAACGTAGATAAAATATTCCAAACTATTATTCACATGTCACGGCAACCTGGCACAGGCCGACTTTTTGGTGGGGGTCGACCTCAAGCAAAACACTATTTCCTTCAAGAATACCACATGTGGCTAGCTATAGGAGCTATCTACCTTTCTCTCTCTCTAGGAGCCAAACCAACTTCACATGACCGTTGCATTTCTAAACACTTTTTAAGATTTTAAAAATCCTACTGTAATTCGAACACCAAACACTTTTTAAGTACGTCCGGCATCGATCATAATGGAGAAGAATGTAACTAGAATCATCCATGATCGGTTGTTCGAAGAGTAGAAGCAAAAAAGTTTTACTATCAAGCAGATTTTTTTTTTTTGTTTTGTTTCTTATTATAATTACCATCAAACTGATTATAGTTTCAACTCTTACAATGAAAAACATTACAAGANACGACGAAGAAATGAACGTTAAGTTTATATAGTATAATTAATATCTTCTGAGCAGATGATGACATGGTTCTCCTTGGGCGGCGTTCGATTTCTGCTCACGTACATATAATCAATATAATATATACATAATTGAGCGGCTCGTTTTATCATAGCTCGGTGTGAATGATGACATCATCATCCTCCACCTTCTGATCCTCATTGGAAGTCGAGAGGAGACATTGCGCGTCGGGGTTAATGTCCCCTTTGATAATGCCGGCAGCCGAGCGGCAATAGGTGACGACAGACGTGACATCATCATTATTCCCCTGCAAGTTGATGTCTTTAAGGATGATGTCTTTGCATGGGACTGTGTCGCTACATGCAAACTTCATCGCATTTTTGGTTTTTGAAGTCCCCGTTATGTTAAGGTACATTATCTGGCTTATTGCCACAGCTGAATCCTATTTATTCACAAAGAAGAAAAAAATGCCTTAAATTTTATCATCAGATGACTTGAGTTTGTTCTGTTTTGACCTTTTCTTTTCACAATCTTTTTTTACCTGAGGTTTACAAGAAGTTGGTGAATCACAATAGAATTGATCGATGATGATTGGGTTCGCGACATCTTCCATTACAATGTTTTGAAAGCGTACAGCTGTCACGTATCCCGATCCTCCCTGCCAAAATGCAAATGCAATACTAATAATGTTATGAAATTTTTTTCCTTTTGGTTTTTCACCATAAATGAAGAAAGGTTGTAAATGAAGAAAGGTTGTTATTAATTTACCTGCCAAGTCTTGATCCTAACACCATTGGATGCACCATTTATAACTGCTCTGTCCACTACAACATTTTCGACTGTGCCTGTCGAGTTGTTCTTCCCCAGGCTACCAATGCTGCACGTGCACATATATCGAATATATTCTGAGCCGTGCAATTTATTTGTTAAGACCAAACATTCGTTAGTTATGTATCCGTTTTTACCTGATCCCATGTCCCGGTCCACACTGTATATTCTTCAATCTCACATTGGAGGTGCCGCTGACAATTGAGACACAATCGTCGCCTAAAAAAAATGGTAAATGTCAACTAGTTACAAATTCTGTTCTGTAACAACTTTTTTTTTTAAAATTTTTATTCTTCTTTTTAACCTGTCCCGATTTTGCAGTTCTGGAGAACTACATTGGTTGAGCCGGTGATATGAATGCCGTCGGTGTTGGGACTGTCCCCAGGAGCAGTAACTTTCAAGCCAAACACACGAACTAAATTACTACGCGCGATTATAAAGTTCATCTGCTGCCCGTTTTCGATTTGCAAGCCTTTAACTCTTACAACAGAGCTCGACTCTATGGTTAAGGCCTGCAAACCACATTGGAGAAATTAATTAGATAATTATCAAGTCATCTTTTAATAAAGTTAATAGAGAGAAAAGAACCTCACCGCTGGTGCATCTTGGCATGGCTGACGCCGGACAGGAAAAAGGCCGAGAAAAAAAAGGGAAAAAGAGAAAACAATAATGGTTAGTATAGGAGAACTAATTTCTGTCTTGAAAATATGACAACAAACACATATATGAATGTGCTAAGATATATATATATTTTTTTTACATTGGCCTTGTTTTTTTTGCAAGAATTTTCCCACCATTCACCCCCCATGCCATTAATAACACCATGCCCTTGGATTACAACATTGGTCAAATTATTGAAGACAATCCAAGTTCGCGGGCTATTGAGATCCCAATTTTTCGGCTTACTTGGCGCCACGATAGTCCCTTCAATCTGTACACACGTCACGAATGGCATTAACTAATGGTCACCCCTCAAGAACAAAATATACTGAGAGAAAAAAAAAAAGAAAAAAGAAAAAGAGGAGCCTGTTGATCAAATTTTCCTTTCTTTTTGCTTTTTGTTGTTTTTCTTACCTGGACCACTAACCTGTCGACACATGGCCCGTTAAATCTCGTTGCCTTTACTAGATAACTGCGCCCGCTGGGCACCAAAAGAACCGATCTTGCTGTGCTGCAAGCTTCATTCCATGCATTCTTAAAAGCCTGTCCATCAATTTAACATACAAAGATGTTGAAAAGAATATGTAAATTAATTACTATGCCCCTTTTTGTCTCATAAGCACAAGTAAACATAAAACATTGATTTTTCAATTCACCTGAGTATCATCAGACACACCGTCACCAACAGCACCAAATGCTTCCACATTTACAACATTCTTGCTCGAGCGCGAACTTTGCAAAGACGGCCACTCAAAGAGATCAAACTCATCTTCTTCATCATAATCCATTTCCCAACTCTCGAGCTCGTTTAAAATGTCGTATTTTTCGGGTAAATCTTTTTCCGCGCTTCGAAGAGGAACCGAAAGCAAAACCAGAAATATTATTAGCTTGTTCATGATTCTTTTGTTAAGGATATATGGTTGGTATTGTTGTTCTTGTGGTTTTTAACTAGGTAGGCTAGATGACTTGATTTGCATTAAATCAGGTGAAACAGATATATAAGTATGGATTTTAGTGCAAAATACAATGGATTTGTGGGAAAAGCACAATGCTTGGCTTGAAAGGACATGAAAGTGTAGCATTTTCAACTTATGCCTACACTTGAAGGAACTTGAAGGATAAGGATTTTCAAATTTTTCATTGACTTTGCTTTACTCATCAAACTAGTGACCCAACTGCACTAAAACTGTACATATTTTATATCATAGTTGAAAATTGACAGAGTAGAAAGAAGGGAAAAAAGGGGAATACTGTGACATATCATAGTTGAAATTTGTGTCTGTGGGAAGCTGATGCAAAAGACTACATCATTTTCTGTGACTATCTTATTGTTAGTTGATGANTGGACTGAACTAATTATAAACCTAATACAAAATTATGCATAATTTTCATGAAGCCCATTGCAAAAGCTGTAACTTTTCCTTGCTTCGGTTGAAGCTTATATAATATTTTTCAAATACCCAGTTGATTTTGCATTACTCAAGAATGAACCAAATCAATCAAATTTTTAGTCCTTGGGGTCCAATGTTCAAATGGAAACTAAAAACTAGATAATAACATTACTGGTTATTGTAATCTGATTTTGAAATTCTATGTCAATTTATCTATGGAGTAAAGTAAAAAATATCATATTCTTTAATTAGTTAAAAAATATACTTTTAATTCATACTTCATACTTGTATTGTACATAAAGTTGGTTTGGCTCCGCTGTAGAGCAATTGTTGGCTCTATAGAAAGAACTTTCTTTTCCTCACATTCATTCTTGTTTTCCTCCTATTACTTCTACTTTTACGAACCATCTGTCAACTTCTTAAGCAGAGGCAATGGCATTTTGCAGGCAGTAGCTTGTAGCCTAGTCCACACCCCCAAATAATTGATCTCTTTTGAGTTTGACTAACAGACCAAGTCCAAAACAAAAAAATTCTTGTTAAAAAGGTAACTGTAATTCAATATATTTTTATGTACATTGTATTTTAATGTATAAATTTAAATATAGAATATATTAATTGAGATAATATAAACATACATAAATATTCAATTTTGTAATAAGACTACGCATTCACCAGAGTTAATGCAGATTTCCATAATTCCATTGTCTATGACTATGAGACTAGGACCAATGGATCTAGGTAGGTATCATATTTGCTGACTGCCATTTGTAACACCCATAAAGCCCTGAAAACTAGCCAAAGAAGAAATAAAAATATATATATATAAAAAAAAAACAATAACAGAGAAAAAGGAAAAATATTTTGCTGAATAAGATTGCATTTTTAACTGCTTTTATCTGGTTTTTCTCTCGTTTGTTTCTCACACGATCTAAATTTGTCTTAATTTTCCTCTACATTTAATAGGCAACATAATATTATATTAATAACCCCAATAATATTGGGATATTAAAAATCCACTCACCAGCAGCACTACCTACAAAAACCAATTCTCTTCCATTTTTCTTCTCCAACCCCAACCAATTTTGGTGACTTTCTGCAAAGACAGCAAAATTATTATCAGGGCTCTGTTCAAAATCCAGTCTTTTATAAATTTTTCTTAAAATATCTCCAAGAATGGGGAATATAATGTGTATGAGCAAGAAAGACGGCAAGAATGGTGTGGTTGGATTAAAGAGTAAAAGAGGGTCGATGTCAAAGAGAAAGGGTTTAACCGAGGAAGAGGTACTCCACAGGCAAGCTCTGGCTATGGCGATTAAGGAGCATAGTCAGCTTTCTCAAAGATTTGATAGTAAGAACAATGGTTCGATGTCGAGGCGCGTCGGGTCCACGAGCTCTCGCCGCCGCCCAACTGATTTGTCTGACCCGCTTTCTAATGCCAACTCCAAAAAGGTTGAATTTTTTTGTGTTTTTTGTGCTGTTTATTGTTTTTTTATTGGTTTGGAATGAGAATCACTGTATATAACTTTTGGGACCGTGTGTGTTAGGGGTAATGATGAGGGTTTGAAGGGGAGTTGGTGTACGGATTTTCAAGGCCCCACGGGAAAGAAAGTAAAGTGTGGACCTTTTTTTCAGTGAAAGACTTGTGCAGTCATTTTCTGAAAAATTGTTTAGTTACTTTGATGTTACTTGACCCATATAATAGTTTTGATTATTGTGAATTTTGTATGGTTTTCTTGTGGGGGCGACACTAACTCTTTATACATGGACCTTTGTCTTGTTCTGTTGATAACAGTTCTTGATTATATAGGAACTATATAATTCTGTATTTGATGTTTCCCACATTCCCGGGTCCCTTTTCTTCGGTCTTTACATTTTATGCAGTAATGCTATTATCAGTTTTTACTCATTGTTTTAAGTGTATATCCTTTATAGTTGGAAAATTTGGAGAATATCAAGACAAAGAAATTTGTATTGGTTCATGGAGGAGGATTTGGGGCTTGGTGTTGGTATAAAATTATTGCACTACTTGAGGAATCTGGATTAGTCCCAATTGCTTTGGATCTTGCTGCCTCTGGTATTGATACCACACATTCAAACAATGTAGCTACTCTTGCAGACTATGCAAAACCTTTGATCGATTTTCTTCAAAATTTACCGATCGATGAACAGGTAAAGGAAATACTATAATCAAAAGTTGTCTGTCTGGCTGTACTCTTGTTTCGTTTTCTTTTTCTTGATAGGGCCATTTGTATGGTGTGTGTAGGTAATATTGGTGGGTCATAGTAGTGGAGGTGCTTGCATTTCTTATGCATTAGAGCATCTGCCTGAGAAGATCTTGAAAGCTGTTTACCTTTGTGCTACTATGATAGCTGATGGGGAGAGGTCTTTGGATGTTTTTGCTCAAAAAGAGGTTTTGTTTAATCTAACTTCTAATAAATGTTGACTTTGCACTCTCAATTTGTTTCCTCTGTGTGAAAAAAGAAATCCAAAAATTGTTCACTCCTGATTTTATCTCTGACTCGGAATTTATCGACAGGTGTTTTAAACCAGTTCACAGTTTAACCCCCTAAAAATTAGCTTAGCTCATCCTGTGATTTTCTTTTCTTGTTTTTTTTTCCCTGTATTGTTAAATGCCTTCTCAAAATTGCTTCTTGCAGCTTGGCTACGAACAACTTTTCTCGGCCCAATCGAAGTCTCTAATTTATGGCAATGGAAAAGACAATCCTCCAACGGGGCTCATGTTTGAGAAGAACATCATGCGTGGTTTATATTTCAATCAGTCCCCTGCAAAGGTGCAGTTTACATCTCATTATGTG